AGAGTTACGTAGAGATAATTTGGAAGGTAGGGGTGGTTTACCACACTGGGCTTCACAAGTGACACAGCATCTTGGTATCAGTATGGCTCTGGGTATAGTCCTTAGGTTTATTCCATATAATTGACTCTGTTATTATAAGCATTACCTTTTAAGAGTTCAACGTATAAAACCAGATGCTAGTGCATTATTTATATAAACATATATTTTTAGTGTTCAGAATAGTCTTTTATCTCTGGCATACCTTGACTAATGTTAAAATCTCTGTTAAGTTAAATAAGTGATAACAAAGAAACCCTAATAGATTATAATATAACTAAATAAATTTTTTTTAAAAAAACGGAGTAATGGTTCTTCTCAGCTACATAAAACCCCTCCCTCTACAACAACATCTACCTCCCATTTATACCAATGATTCCAAGACCCTCTTTTCACTTGGAGAATAATAAACATTGAAAAATTCTTATTTTTATGACTCATTTTTATTGAGTTCCTTCCAGTAGAATAATCTTTTTTTCAAACATCATATAATGCTATTGATTGGCTTCCACTTACTCAGTTAGAATCCCATTTCATACAGTGAGTTCCAGAGAACTGCTTTCCTATATTCAGATCTGGCCCCAGACCAAAATGTAACCTCAATTGACTAGAAGGCAAGAGAAATAAATGTTAAAATTTGTATGAATTTGCTCAAATGACCTGGGGATTTTCTGAGTCTTTGGACATCTGTTGGTATGTAGAGCATTCTCCAAAGCCATGCTGCCTACTGAATTACCTATGAAGCTTTAAAAACATTGAAGTGTGGGGCCCACCAACTAAACATTCTGATGAAACCACATGTCATAGGTATTATTATTACTCTTACTTTTTAACTAATTAGGTAATAGGCACAGGGATGTTAAATGATGTTTACTTAGAGAATGAATTTTATCAGCTAAGTTTTAAAATTTTATTTATTTGGAAATACATAAAAATGGTATTCATTCTCTTTTGAATATATTTTACATATAACCATTGCCAGAGGGGAGGAAGATGGATGACAGTTCAATGACCTATGATTCTGTAAATGGATTAAATGGTTTAAATTCATAGCTAACTGGAAATTTTACTCTCACTAAAGAAAGTCCATCTAAATTACAAAGCTATATAAAAGTTATTATGATCATTAAATTTTAAGTACCAGTTCTTAGAAAGGGTCACACATTTGAAATAAATAGTATTATTATATTTCTTATCATATGGTACCTAGATATTCTATAATTAGGACAATCAATCATTTCTTAATATATATACTTTAAAATAACCTTATGTGGTACTCTAGTGCAATTTTAAAATTACAGATACTGAAATTGAAACCCAAGAGCTTACACAACTGCCCCAGAGTTAAAACACACATATTTTAAAAGGCCAAGTTTACCATAAGGATGTCTATCTGCCCCGACCACTGCCTTGCAAGAATAATTTTGATTCTGGAGTTATCCAAGCTGTGAAGGTTGAGGGCACACCTCCATAAGACCACTCTCACTCTGACACTAACTGCAAGTTTGAGAGCTTTTCAAAACCACTCTCCATTTCAATAATTCACAATAAGGACTCACATAACTCTCTAAAAGCTATTATACTCACAGTTACAATATATTAGAGGGAAAGGCTTTAGAAGAAAATCAGGCAAAGGAAGAGACTCAGAGTAGATTTGGGAAGATTCCAAATGCTGTCCTCCCCTGTAAAGTTGACCCTCCCAGTATCAATGTGCGACAGCAAAGCATTGAAAGCTCACTTGATCTTCAGTGTCCATAATTTTCATTGGATCATTATTACAGAGTTTTGAATTATTGACTGCCAAAGTGGTTGAAATCAAACTCCAGGTCAACAGATACCATAAAATTCAAATTCCACCCTAAATCACATAATAAGTCTTTCTGAAGTAACCACTCCTGCCCTAAATAGACCCTCCTGTCAGTTATAGTATAGATTTCCTCCTGGACGACAAGGGCAAACTTGAAATCTTTTTTTGGACAAGGCTGAGTTCTTTACTATAAACCACCAAATGTTTCACACAGTCATTTATTTCTGGTCATTCATTTAGTTAAGACCTACTAATTTAGTAACTGCTTTATGACTGAAAACTAGTGAAGAAAAGAGTCATGTTCACTGCTCTTAAAAATTTGTGAGGGAGTAAATGTTCAAATATAACTATACTAGAGGCCCGGTGGACAAAAACGTGTACACTCGTGGGGGAGGGGGTCCCTCAGCCTGGCCTGTGCCCTCTTGCAGTCTGGGACCCCTTGGGGGATGTCCACCAGCTGGCTTAGGCCCACTCCCCGGGGGATCGAACCTAAGCTGGCAGTCAGACATCCCTCTGGCAGCCCGGCAGCCCTCGTGAGATATCCACTTGCCAGTGAGGAGCAGGCCTAAGCTGCAGTTGGACATCCTTAGCGCTGCTGAGGAGGAGGAAGAGGCTTCCACCACCACCGCTGTGCTAGCAGCTGTGCTGGCAGCTGCTCAGCTCTGAGGATCAGGGTGGGGGTCCTGCTGGGGTGCCTGGCCAACCTGGGTGAGGAGCTGATGGCTGTTTTCAGGCTGCCTGCACCCTCTTCAGGGTTGGCGTCCCCACTGGGGTGCCTGGGCAGTCTCGGTGAGGGGCTGTTGGACATTTTTAGGCTGGCCACCCCCCTCCCCCCAGCAAAGCAAGCTCCCAGCCTCTCCATTTTTTCTTTTCTTTTTTTTCAGCACCTCCTTGAGTGGAGGCTAGGGTGGGCTGGAAGCAGGTATCTGGGATTTATTTATCTTCTATAATTAAAACTTTGTAGCCTTGAGTGGAGCCCAGGGCTGGCCAGGGCAGGCGAGAAGCTTGGCTTCCTCCATTGCCGGGGGAAACCCAAGCCTCCTGCTTGCTCCAGCTCCGTGGCCACCGCCATCTTATTTGGGTTAACTTGCATACTCGCGCCTGATTGGTTGGTGGGCGTGGCTTGTGGGCATAGCAGAGTGATGGAGTGATGGTTAATTTGCATGTTTTTCTTTTATTAGTGTAGATACATTACCATATAATTAAAACCATTGATGAAAAAGATTAGGGAATGATGGTATTTTAAGACTAAAGTTCAGGACCTAATACAGAAACAGGTCTCACAGAATGCCTTTTTGAGAAAAGTACATGTGAACTGAATTTAATAGCCTACATTAGCAAAATTAAAATCCTATCCTTAATGTTAACCATAGACTGTTTTCATGTTGTACTTAATAGATAGTTGACTTTTATATTTTTTATTAAAAAATAATTGTCCCCAGAACTCTTCTGAATCCAAGAATTATAAAGCACTTCAGTTCATACTTAATGCTATTTTATATACAGCCATGTCAATTCAATAAACAATCATGTATTGAGCAGTTATCATAATCACTCGTCTAGGCCTTAAGTAAACAACCAGTACTGAACAAAATAGTACAAAACCTCTATCTTCAAGTAGCTAACATTCTAGTGATTTAAACTACTGAGCTTAAACTCTGCAGGTAGTAACAGAATAATATCATTATAATGTTAGATCCTGGATTAGCTGCCTTTTTAAACAATAAAGTATCTCTGTTACCTCAGTAAATCAATTGCTCTGTGCCTAAGTTCTTCACATATAAAATGTGGATAATGAAAATTCTTATATCTTATAGCTATTGTTAAGACTAAAATTTCACTACTTAAGAGGCAGTTTGACTTGCACATAGGAAGTTCTCAATAAATGTTGGGTGTTATTTTTAGAGAGGAAGCATGGCTTTTTAGAAAAGTTATTGGGTAATTCAATATTATTTAAATATTGACTGCAGTTTGGTATAGCCTAACTTATAGAAGGACTATGGTACACTTCACAATTCTTGGCCTCTGTGTCCTCATTTTTAAATGAGGGGTTAGGTTAGCTTATCAGTAAAGTCTTTTTAGTCTACATTCAGTTTTACACCTTTAAACTATTCTAACTTTTTTAGGACCTTAGGTGAGCTCCTAAATCACAGGTCATGCTCCTTTGTGCTTAACTTTGCAGAGAACTTAGTACAAGAACAAATTCAGCTAATCTCATGGAGCAGCACAGCTCACTACTAGAAAGCTGTGCTTTAAAGAAGTCTTATAAAGTCAGCAATAGAAAATTAAGTTTGGAAGGATTTAGAGGCCAGATGTCCCACAAATTTTTTGTTTGTTTGTTTGTTTGTTTAGTTGTTTTTATTTTTTTCCTTCCCTCATACGGAAGTTGGGGGTAGTTGCTTGGAATTTACCTCTTAACAGGAGTTGGCTCAGGAGGTTAGACATCTAGAAATTGCTTTCCCATAAAGATAAAGTAAAAGCTAATTTACTACTGTCTTAGAGAATCTAATGCCTCACTTCAACAGATAAAGGTAGTGTTAGTGATCAGAGGAATCTACTGCTAAAGAGATGTCAAGGAGTCAGCAAGCGATTGCCATATTGACTGCTACTGATTTCAATAAAATTAGTTTGCACCATTGAAAGAATTTTTTCTTGCCTAAAACCCAAGGTAAATTTCAGATACTCACTGTAATCTAAGGAGGACTTGTGTTTAAAAAAAATGCTGAAATGGGACATAAATGTGACCGTGATTCCTTAAAACCTTCAAGATACTTTCTAAATTTCTTAACATAGTTTATGAGCTTGTCTAGCATGTTCTTTTCTTCCTCACAATCTATGTTTTAGTCAAGCCAAACTTCCCTTAGTTAAGTCCTTCATTATGCTGTGCTCTTTCTCAACTTGGATCTTTTTTACATATTGTTTCTCTATATGGACCGTTCTTTCCCTCCACTCTGCCTGGTAATTTCCTAGTTAACATGTATGTCTCACCTTAAATACACTTTATTTAAGGAACTTTTCCAAAAGAAGCCCCACTAATATTATTTTCAACTGAACCCTGTATTTCCCCTGTCATAGCAATCTCCAACCAGGCCTAGGGACCCCACCTGTGCACGAATTCGTGCACCAGGCCTCTAGTACATATATATAACCTTTGAAAGATCCATCAAGAAATAGAAAAATATCTTGCTCACAGAAGTTTCATTATAATTGACATTTTACAAAAAATTATGAGCAAGGCAGGCAGTTCTGCCTATTTTCCTCCTGTTGAATTTTTTTGATTCATTATCTGTTCTCTACATTTGCTTGGAAAAATATAGATCACTTTTTATCCTAACCACTAAATCCTAAACATTGAAGACTAGAGTTTTACTTATATTATTGACTAGCTTTACATGTACCAAGAATTGTGCAGATGCTTTATAATATTCTCCCATTCAATCCTTCCAATAATCCCATGAGGTAGGAAAAACTGGTAACTTCATTCTGGCTCTGAAAGAAAAAAATAGCTTCTAAATAAGTTTAGTTACTTTTTTAAGATCATCCAGCTCATAAGTACAAGTCATAGGTAAGTCTCCACTCTGATTCTAACATTTTAACCATCATTATATTCTAGTCATGGATAATGCACCTAGGTCTCCAGATCCTTGTACATCATAAAAATGAGCAATTATCACTAGCTAATTCCATAGACTCAAGAAAATTCCAGGTGCTATAATATACCTTAAAAAATCCTATACAGGTAACAACTATATTTTCAGGAAATCAGTTATTATTTACCAAGAATCAGAATGTACTTGGTACTTTAATAACACTATCTAATTTTTCCTGAAAGTTTTGTAAGTTTAATATTTCGATAATCACTTTAAACTGAGACTTAGAAAGGTCAAGCAAACTCTTCAAGGTAGCTCACATAGCTAGTAAGTAGCAGATTGTGGATGTGAACCAAACAGTTTGTCATAAAATATTATATTTTTAACTCCTATACTGCACAGTAGCTTGTCAACCACCATTATTTCTGCTTCTCAGCTTAATTAGTATATATTTATTATCATTAGATGGCAGAATATGAATGTGGTCAGACTTCTGTTATGTAAATTTACAGACTGGGATCTAGGTACTTGGTTTAACACTTACTTTGTGACTCTTTCTACTCTGTAAAAATTGCTGGAGGTATTGTGATTACATCAAATTTAAAGATTTTTATAGGTATAAACTAGTAGCCTGGTGCACAAAATTCATGCACAGAAGGGGGGTTCCCTCAGCCCAGCCTGCACCCTCTCCAATCAGGGACCCCTTGGGGGATGTCCAACTGTGGTCAGACATGCCTCTCACAATCTGAGACTGCTGGCTCCTAACCACTCACCTGCCTGCCTGCCTGATTGCCCCTAACTGCCTCTGCTTACCTGCCTGATCACTCCTAACTGGCCTCCCCTGCCAGCCTGATCTTGCCCCTAATGGCCCTCCCCTGGCAGCCTGATCTCTCCCCCAACTTCCTTCCCCTGACAGCCTGATCACCGCTAACAGCCTCTGTCTTGGCCCCCACCACCATGGCTTTGTCCACAAGGAATTCAGACGTCCAGAAGATGGCTGGTCAACTCAGTCTAATTAGCATATTACCCTCTTAGTAGTATAGATAGATTATATAGGATAGAATTGCTTAAATGGGGGGGGGGGTAGTGTGCAGCAGGAGGAGATGCTCTTGGCAGACAAAAATACATAATCCCTATATCTGGACTGATAGTCAGGCATATGCACTATACTGCCAAATTGGTCATTACAAATTAAACTGCTTTCTTACACCTTACACCAAATAACTGTTGCCCTTAAAACCCCTCCTCAGCCTCCACCTTAGGTTCTGCCTTCGCAGTTCACCCAGATTTGATTCTGATTGGTCAGTTTCTATGCCAGTCAGTATCTCCTAGCCTATCAATGGGCCTGATCAGAGACGCAGGGCTGATCAGCAGTCCCAGTGGAGGCCCAAGAGAAAGAGAGGCACGGCTGCTGGCCAGGCCCAGAGCGAAAGAGAAAGGCAAGTGCTGCCATGGAGGCTGCGGATCAGACCCTGCTTTCCTCTTCAGGCATCTCTTTGGACCTGACCACAGCCCGCTCAGCAGTCAGTGCTAGGTTGGGGCAGGGGGGCTCAATGATCGCAGCCAGTGCTAGGTTGGGGGACCCTCAATGATTGCAGCCAGTGCTGGTCGCTATGGCCACCCTGCACTGATTTCCAGTAGGTCGAGCCTTTGGTTGTTTTGGATGTTACAGACCCTGGGTTTTTATATATTAGGATAATGTTAACACATTTTAATCTTTTATTAGCATATGTGGTCAAGTGCATGATTTCCAGTCACACTGATCTTGTTTAGAATTAATGAGTAGCATGTTTACACTGAACTCATTTTATACTTTTACTCATATCTCTATTGTAACTCTTAGAATCCTCATTCTCTCCTGCAAAGTCAATATTCTATAACCTAGACAGCATTATGAGCCCAGGTGGGATATCTAAGATCATTACATTTTTTTGTCACATTCTTTCTCATGTAATAGGTAAAACTAATAAAAAGACATACTCATGTAAGATAAAAGCCAGCTGCATTATTTCAACCCAGCAATTGAATTCTATCAATCAAGGTACCCTTTGCTACCAGAAAAGAAAACTGGAAGGCTCTATGTGGGTGAAAATAGGCAGAGGGTAAATTAAAGTAAAAAGCGTAATCTTTAAAATAAATATGCTTCTAAATTGGGGACTATGAACTACGAAAAGCATACACTATTTGATAAGACCTGTCTAGACATTGGTATCTTGAGTGTGAATATTGAGTAATAAAATTGAAATGAATAACCTTATGATAAGATCAGGTAAATTCATGAAGATATAAATCAGTGAGAGAGCAAAAATGTTGTGGTGCTTATTTTAAGGACTAAATACAAACATGGGCTGGATCTTTATTTGGCAAACTCTATAATCAGTGTACTACTCTATAATGCCTATCATAAAAAAATCACTGTTCCTTTTCAGTCTGTTTACTATGGATTTTAAAAACTACCTACATCACGTTGTAATTGTAATAGAATTACTTTTTTTTAATCTGTTACAAAGTACCACATGTTATTCTAAGTGAATCATTGCTAATATTTTTATTTCAGGGACTTTAAACAAGCCAATATTAAGCATTTCCATCCTAAATAAAATTATCATGAAAATTTATTTATTTGTTTATATGCTGATTGTTTCTGGAAGCTTTTTGTTCATTTCTTTAGTTTTTAACATAGCCTATTAATATATTGTTAAATTAAGATTTCAGAGGGAAATATTAGGGATATAAAAGAGGCCTATCCAATACCTCAAAGTATGAGAAAATACCAATGCTCATACTATATAGTCTGTGTCTTCTACATTTATTGAAAATCAAATAACAGGCCATATTAAAGTTGTGAGGTTTGTTCTCATTTCACCACAACCTGGCACCTGGGGCTATGGGGAAAGCAACACAGTTCAGGACCTATGCACGTATGATTCTTGGAACCCATTCACAGTTTGGAAGTGACATGAAGTGTTAAAAGGTTACAGATTACCAATGTCTCTTTAAAAAAAAAATTCTAAAATTAACCAGTCATGATTTTCCTTCTTACAAAAAGATTTAGATGTGCCTACTTTAAGTTTTGCCGTTTAAATTTGTAAGGGCACAGATCTACCAGTAGCAGAAGAGATGGGGACCCAAGGTCTATAAAGTTTGCAGCTACAGAGGATGAACTGCTAATGGAAACTATAGTTTTCATTTATCCCTCTCCTCCAAAAATCACTGCTACTCAAAGTGAGGTACTTGAATAATCAGCATGGGCCTCATCTGTGGGCTCGTTAGAAATGCAGACTCTCATGCACCTTCCCAGATTTTCTGAATCGGGATCTACATTCTAACAAGTTCTCTAGGTAATTTACATTAAGTTACATGCTAACAAGTCAGAACTCAACTTGTATTGCCTCATTGAGGAACCCTTTAGTAATATCCCTGATGGGTCCAGTGTCCTTAGTAATCCTGTCATAGCACAAAGTTCCTTTCATCCATTTTTCTGTTTATCAGTCTATGATGGATGTGATTGTCTCTCCAATAGACTGTCAACCCAGGATGAAACTTGTGATCATCATGGCATACCTGGCACAGTGTGTTATATATCATATAATCAATAAGTAGTGAATGAATGAATTAATTAATGAAGCCTGTTTGACAATTGGCAAAAATGTTT